CCATAACCTGATTATGACTATAATTGTAATCCTGGGCAACATGTAACTTTTGTTTTTATTCGATTGTTTTTCCAAGTGAGGAAAAACAAATCAGCTTAAAGTCCAATTTGCCTTTCTTTAAAGGATAGAGTGATAAGTTTGTTAGACTATGGTTACATTAATAACCCTCTAATGTATTCATCTCTTATAAGTCTACCAGCAGCATCTTTCACTTCCATTAGTTTTGGATCTAAACCCTTTTTGTGAAAGCCTGCTTTGAATTTTCCCACTTTTCACATCAGGCATGATTTTACCTGTCAATGATACAAGATATGGGATACCACTGACATTTCACCATGTCTTGTCTAAACTCATATTTTCCTCTGTGGAGTGTCCATAGTTAAGAACTAAAGTGTAACTAAAAGGGTTTTCTCTCCTGCTGGTTGTGTTTGATCCTCTCTTTCTCTTGCTTCTGCCTTATTTGACTTCCTGTCAGAAAAAAAAAAAGAGTTTTTCCTCCCCATGGTCACCAACACCAATGTCTTCAGTGTTCATATGAAGTCACTGAGTCACTAAATAGTTGATGAAGCTTATGTCTTCGCAGTGCTTTGAGTCAGAATACACTGGACTACATCAGCATCAGTCATCAGTGTGGTTCCCTTTAATGAAGATGTGTATACCTTTCTGTCCCATCTGTACTCCAGGTGTGTGCAGGTCCTTTGGTTTCACAGGATCAGTCCAGCTTCCTCCAGAGTGCAGATCTAAGGGGGTCAGATGTCGTCCACGCTCCGAGGAGGATAGCCCGGATGACCCCACTGTGGCGGATCATGAACAGTAAACCCTTCGGAGCATACTGCCAAAACAACTATGAATGCTCCACGGGCCTCTGCAGGTAACTGTGCTGGCAAAAGTGCAAAATAACCAGGCTGTGTAACAGAAGAAACCCAAATGTTAATGTAGAAAGAAAAAAGGAAAAGTGGAGATTTTTGTTAAGTTCAAAAAATCCACTGGGCTGGTAAATCCTGCAAAGCGAAACAGATCTTTTCTATGGCAGCTTGTATCTGCCACTCAATATATTTGTATTTTTTTCCTCAAAATTTCAAAATGTTATTTTTAATAACATGAACACTTAAATACACCTGATTGGAAATTTTGGCAGAAATAAGCTTTCATACTTTGTTAACATCTGC